GCAGTTTTCAGATAGATAGCTTGAAACCTGCAGCAGACCATCCACGTCAGTTTACCAAAAAACCGAATCTTGTGACGTGGACCAACACTAGCCAACACCTCTCAACTGGGTCTATTTACACAATTCTGACTGAAAAGTTCAAAAATGTTGAGCGAACTTTCTACTCAACGGGTTCCAAAACTGTTGCACCAAATTAGACAAGAGTTTCCAATGGAAATTCTTAATAAGTGAGATCAAGATCCTGAAACATCTCTTGGAATAATTACAACAGGAAATGAAGCTTGACCCTCGCATAAGTGTTTAGGGAGGGACAGACATCTGCTTTATTATGAGAAGGTTTTGAGAAAGCCAAAGCTTTAGCAGAAAGCTAGAGCCCTTCTCCGCCATATCAATGCACCTACTCATTCCTCTCAATGGCAATTTGTTTTTAGCTTTTATGGGAAATCATTAGGCATCAACTGTACAACTGTGATTTGACTCCTGCTTCCTAATTCTAAATAAAAAATATAAAATCTGAAGCCTCACTGCCATCAAGTCCATCCCAACTCATAATGACCTTAGAGGAATTGCCTCTGGGTTTTCCAGACTGTCAATCTTCATGGCAGTATAAAGCCTCGATCTTTCTCCCATTTCAGCAGCAGGTGGTGTGGAGCTGCAAACTTTGTAGTTAGCTGCCAGTGGGAAACTCACATTACTGCGTAAAAAATAAAATCTTTAAAGGGCACATATTTTTCTCCAAATAGTAATCGTTAAATTCCCGGGACCCCCAATTTGTTAGTGACAGACTAAATGGCTGGTATCATTGCTTACAGAAGATGTCCTGACTTGGCACTGTTGGGGAACCGTTGGGCGGCTAAACTACAAGATCAATAGTTCAAACCCACCAGCTAATCTGAGGGAGAAAGATGAGACTACCTGTTCCTATACACACTTAAAACCTCAGAAACCCTTTATAGGGCCAATATGAGTTAGAATCGCCTTGCTGGCAGTGAATTTGAGATGCTCAGAAATAAAAATTATCTTTTGATTCCATTTTTCCACAAACCCTTCGAATTCCTTTCACAGATGAGACCCCTGCTAACATTCTTAATTTGGAAGTCAAAGAAATAAGCAGTAAATAAATAGAGTATTTTAGGACCATAATACTTTACCTAAAAAAGGAGAGGAGGCGCTACTTTGTAAGTTTGTTGATTATACAAGACCTCTCTAAGGAGCTTAGCACTAAATGGAACAAAAGAAGGAGCTATGGGAAAGGACACAGCAATGCAGGTAGAAGAATGAGTACACAGGCTTGACACAAGTTTGTCATGTATGGGAATTGAGAGAAGGCCACTGAGAGTTTGAGTAGAAAGAAGTAGGGTCAAGTCAAGCAGAATTTTGCAGTGCTTTGAGAGAGTTTCGATTTTATTCCAAGAGACTTCAGAGAGAAACACTGTGAAGGATGGATTAGGGGGAATAGCAAATACCACATTCATAATATGTATTTGTTACATGATACAAAGCAAACAAAGTTCCTGTCGTGGGGTTGCTTACATTCTAATGGAGGAAAACCACCTAATAAAATTATTTCAGATAATTTCTACTAGAGAGGGTTCTGCTTAGGATAGGGTGGTTAATGGCTTCTTGGAGGAGTTGCCACTTGAGCTGAGACTTGAAGAAGGACTGGGCTCCACAGAAGCAACCTGACAAATGCCTGTGACATAGATTTACTGGAGTCCAGGGAAGGGTTCTCGTTCAGCTTACAGCAGAAGGCACTGCCACATACTTAGCCCCACCCCCTCTCTACTCAGCCTTCCAGGTGTTAGTATCAGAGCAAGGAGTCACCTTACCTGTGAGAAAGGAGAGATCAAACTACCCTGTCACTATTTAGCAGGGTTTAAGTTGTTTGATTTCAGTTAACTAGTAAACATGTTTAGCTTAAGTGCATTTAAAATCTGTATTATTCACACTTTCTAAAAAGCAATATAAAGTCATCCAATTTGGATTAAAGTTGGAAACAGGTTTACATAAAACACTTCTCTGTTTTAAAGTAATCTGACTTAGGCTTAAGAATACAGCACTCAAATTTGGAGTTAGGTAATCACAGGATAACCTAATCATATTATATGCATACACAAAATAGAAATTAGAAATTTTAACTCAAAATTTTCATATTCCAATCTCATTGAGATATTCTTAAATTTCTTGGTTAATTAAAGAATTATTTTAACACCTTTACAAAAGTGTTCAGTTTTTGGAAAACAAATTGTTTGTAGGAAAATAGTTTTGAGACTACCTCCCTGTTTCTCAATCCTGTGTTCTTCTGTATTTATCCTGCAAAGTGCTGGAATCGACTCAAAGGCAGAGTTGAGGTTTAGATGTGTAAGATGGGGAGACCTTCACCTCTCTTCTCCCTGTATTTCCACGCTGCTCCGACTTGTAAGAGACAGGTTTGGGTTGTAAGAAACTCTTTGCTCATGTTCTGACTCTCTGTGCAGCTCGCTGTGAAACTGTATTGTGTGGTTGGCCTTAGGGCTGAATCCTGTAAAACATTGTTCTCTTTTTAAGACAAGTAGAATGATGAGTAACACCTCAGTAAGGTTTACCTGGTTCAAGAAACTGAAAGAGAAGAAGGTACTTCCTTGAAATGGAAAGCTGGATTTAAGAGATTAGAAAGGTGTCCCCCCTTTGGTAAGATCAGATTTTAGGTGAAGGAAGGAGTGTATATACGGTCATGGTGGATTTATTTGATTATATGAAATAAACCTTTTCAGTAGGAAAAAAGTAATTGAGCTGTCTATTTCTTTATATCTGTAAAATCCAAGATTACTTTTCTTGTCGGGAACTAAGAATATCTTGAAATATTTTTTAAACACATTTGTACATTTATTGCCCTCATCCTCAAAACATTTGCTTTCGACTTAAGCCTTGGTATCAGCTCCTCATTTTCCCCCTCCATCCAGCCTCCCCCGATAATTTATAAATCATTATTTTTCCATGTCTTACACTGACCGATGTCTCCCCTCACCCACTTTTCTGTTGACCATTCCCCAGGGAGGGGCTTATATGTAGATCCTTGTAATCGGTTCCCCCTTACTGCCCCACCTTCCCACCACTCTCAGCACTGGTCCTGCAGGGTTCATCTGTCCTGGATTCCCCATGTTTCCAGATCCTATCTGTACCAGTCTACATACTCCGGTCTAGCCAGATTTGTAAGGTAGAATTAGTGAGTGGGGAGGAAGCATTTAAGAACTAGAGGAAAGTTGTATGTTTCATCGTTGCTACACTGAAAAAGCCAAGATCCAGGCACAGTTTATCTTTTAGTATCATACATCAGAGCTCTGTTTGGAAATGGTAGTTGTGAGAAGGCCTGCCTAAGAAGCATAATCAAGAATTTATTCTTTTTTATAACTTTTATTGGGGGCTCGTACAACTCGTATCACAATCCACACATACATCCATTGTGTCAAGCACTCCTGTACATTTGTTTCCCTCAGTGTTCTCAAAACATTGCTTTCTACTTGAGCTCCTAGTATCCACTCATTTTCCCCTCCCTCATGAACCCTTGAAAAATTTTCAATTATTATCTTGTCATATCTTATACCATCCAACGTCCCCCTTCACCCACTTCTCTTCTGTCCATCCCCCAGGGAGGAGATTATAGAGCTTTGTCATCTTTAACCCCCTTCTCCCTCACCTTCCCTCCACCCTCCCGGTATCGCCATTCTCACCACTGGTCCTGAGGGGTTCATCTGTCCTGGATTCCCTGTGTTTCCAGTTCCTATCTGTACCAGTGTACATCCTCCGGTCCAGCTGGATTTGTAAGGTAGAATTAGGATCATGATAGTAGGGTGGAGGAAGCATTTAAGAACTAGAGGAAACTAGAGTATGTTTCATCGTTGCTACACTGCACCCTAACTGGCCCGTCTCCTCCCTGTGACCCCTCTGTAAGGGGATGTCCTGTTGCCTACAGATATTCTTTTTATTAAAGGTACCAAATCTCCAGTCATATATGTTTGTCAGAGACAGAGTTGGGATATCTCCTATTTATAGTTCTGGTCTTTTGCATAGCTGTGAACAGTATTAACACATGATTGTGTTTAGAAAAGAATGTTTTATTTTTTAAATGTTAATTGAGTACTTAAAACTGTATTGTCTAATTAGGCTATTCAAATGGTACCATAAAACTCTGATTTAAATGAGCAAATGGCAATAAATGGAATCAATTCAAAATTATAAGTATCTTTTCCAATGTAAAATTAGATTATTCAATAGTCTTTTTAGATGCTATAAGCCCAGAGCCAAGTTTAAGGAAAATTTCCAAAAATTCTGATTTTACTGACAATTAGCATTAACAGCCAGAGTTTTATTTTTCTTTGTGAGGCCATAGTTTTGCAAAAGAAAACGATTTTCAAGCTGTACTTTTTCGAGAACTAGCACTGCTTCTGTCTAACTCCAGCACTGGCGTTTGTCTTTCACAGGCAGAGAATGTCTCTACCCTACATGCATGACCAGTGTAAGCAAATGCTGTATGTCTCCTCCGAGATGCAGCGACTTCAGGTCTCGTATGAAGAGTACCTCTGTATGAAGACCTTACTGCTCCTCTCTTCAGGTTGGTAGCACATCACTTTATTTCTAAAGGTGTCAAAAACAAGAAATATGGAAGTCTAGAAACATTGGCTTATTACTAAATACAGTTATACCAGGTCTACAACTGATTTTTGCTAGGCAGATGATTTTGATTTCCATAAATGTAAAATGTTAGTATGGTAAAGTCATCAGTGCTAGAATTAATAAGACAAATAGGTGTAGTATAAAATGAGGGGATAGCTCGAGGTCTGTTGAGTTGTACAGAATACTTCTTTCTGAAAATAATATAGGAGGAATGGATAAAAGAGCCCACCTGAATACATGATTGTGTTTACTCTTTTCATGCTGTTATTGGTCAGTATTTCTAGTTATGTGCTTGATTAACTACTGTTAACAAAAGTGTTCTATCTAGAAAACAACAACAAGAGTTTATGAAACAGTGAACTTTTTAACTAATGTCTTTGCTAACTGAAAGTAATTTCACTAACTTGTTTCTGTGTTAATAAAACTGTCAATTTTAACAACCTAAAACTATTCCTATTAAGATTTCATATCAGATTAGTGTTTATAAAATAGAGTTGTTAGCTAAATCTGGATTTTTTTTTTTTCTATTTTAAATCTTCATTCTGTTACAAACTGTGGTTTCCAGCTAAGGAGTTTCTGGATGGCACGGTTAGTTTGAAGCACTCTGTGGCTAGTGTGCATGACTATATGTAACTCTTCTAAAGCACACTTAAATCTTAATGATTCTGCACTATCTTTGCTTCACAAAAAGGTTTTTTGTGTAGATTAATCGTTTTATAAAGTAGTACTAAATAATATTTTAACCCAGGAAAATAACTTTTTGCAACACAAAGTTAAAGATCATTGCAACTTAAGCATCCAAGTTGTGAAACAGCTTGGAGACCTAAATGACTGACGCACTGTGCATTGTTTTGGTGATGAATTAGAGGTCAAGTTCTGATCGTGATTATGATTAGGACCATGAAAGTACCAGTTCAGTGCCAAGATATAGGATGCTAATGGCTTTGTTTTTAAAAATAATGGTTTCAATATCATCCATATCAGGTTTACTGAGCTTTATATTTTTTATCAGAGCTAATGAGAAGTACACTGAATGTACCAAAAGTTCTTTTTAAAAGGAAGTAGAATCACAAAGATGAAATTACATAAGATATTCACAGTCAGTATGGGAAAGAATTTGAATCCTGTTTTCAAATCCTCGGAGTATATAACTTAGGAGTAGAATTGCTGGCTTATATGGTAGTTCTATGTTACCTTTTTGAGAAATCATAAAATTGATACTTATCACCAATGTTCATAGCAGCTTATTCACAATAGCCAAAATGTCCATCAACATCCAAATAAATTTTTTTAAATGTTATATATATTAAAGGGAATTAATAAGAAATAAAGTTCTAATGCATGCTACAACATGGGTGGACTTTGAAAACATACAAATAAAATAAGCTGAACAAAAGGGCAAATATGTGGAATACCTACAATAGGCTAATCGATAGAATGCACTTCAGTTGTTACCAGGGGCTGGAAGTGGGAAGTTAGGCATGAAAAAAGTTTCCGGACATAAGTTATCAGTAATGGTTGACATTACAATATAATTAATGTCACAAAAGTATACCCCTAAAGATTGTTAAAATGGTGAATTTTGTTACTTATATTCTTTTGCAATATACCAAAAGAAAACTTCCACTTCTGACAAAATACTGGAACAGGTGCCCGAAGCTGCTGTCCACATACACTGATGAGATTTGAAGAAGACAACCAAGCAATGACAGGAAACCGAAGAAAAGAGTTACACACCGAAGCCAACGTTCTCCCGGACAGTATTTGCATAATCTGGTGAACGAATATATTTAGTCAGTTGAAAGGCACAGTTAGAAATGTAAATGAAATTTAAAAAGCAGTGGATGGACTTAAAAAGTAGATGAAATATTTGGAGAAATTCTTGGAAGAGTGGTTTAGTGCTATTTGAAATGAAACTTAGATTCAAATATATGTATTTAATATTGCTATGCTGAGAAAGTAAATGGAATAATCAGAAATGATTAATTAAAACCAGAGAAAGCATAAGGGAAGATTTTAAATGATTTTTTATAAAGAAAAAGTTGTAAGAAATAAAGTTACAAACAGTAGATATGAATCATCACTTTAAAAAGC